TTGTGGGGGGTAATGAGGGTGTGGGGGGCGGTTTGGGGGTGTTGGGGGGGTGTATGGGGGTATTGGGGGCCGGTATGGGGATGTTGGTGGGGTTATTACGGGTTCTGGATGCGGGGTGCCGACGACCCCTGACCGGTAGGTGGCGCCCAGTCAAGGGCTGCGGACCGTCGGAGGGTATGCAACACTGCTTTAAAGGCTATTTTTGACAAAGTGTACATGATCAGAACACAATTCGACATGCTGTTTTTCACGCCTTGAAGGCAATGATCCAGCCTTTGTTCTTGCCTTGGGAGCTAAAGTCAACTGGCAAAAGACAGCTCTATTCATAATACCCACATAACACATCTCCTTGGAGACTTGGGGAGTCTAAATCATTCCTGCTGAGTCGTGCTGACATCCCAGAGAGATTGTTCGGTCACTATGCGACCTTTCAGGATAACTCGGCTTCACCCAAGCTTCGTCTCATTGAGAGACTGAGGGCGTATTCACACTGGGACTTTCGTAGTGAATTTGACTGCAATGACGGCCTGTCTTGGATGTACCTGGCGGCCACTACGTCACACAGCCCTACAGGTAGGCTTCCCGTTGATGCAGTGCTGTGTCCTGCTGCGTTTTGCTTTGGGCACTGGGCCCCTTTTTTGTTCTTTTTCTTTCCTTCTCTTCTTCCTCCAGTTCAGTTACGCGTCCTTCTCGCAGCCATCTTCTTCGTTTCTCTACAACGGAACCGTCATGCCATTTATATCAACAGAAACGTCTATATATTACATCGGTGTTCTTCCTCTACCTCAGCGACTCTTCCTTAGAATACTGAACACCTCGGTGATTCAAATGCCAAAAAAAGAAAAAAAAAATCAACAAATGGATGCTGTCAGCAGAATACTGAGCACCTCTACTGTATGTTTTGACTTGTTAAGTTGTTAACCAAAACTATTGACAGTTCGAGCCTTCGAGACTTGGAGAACATACTGGGACATCCTTATTTGAAAAGGAGCGATACATAGAAGAAGCTGAGCATGGTCCTTGCACACAAGGATGACATGCATAAATATTACATAGAGAAATGGTACGCTCTTTGTTTTTCTTTCTGAAGTCCTTATTACATCATATTACCTGATCAAACCCACGAAGGAAAACGGACCTGGCAAAAACCGTCACACCAAAACCTAGAGATGTCAGGAATCCTGCAATTTCCAAAGCCACAAAGCTGCCCCCCACGCAAAGGGTCTTTCCAGGGGGCTTATCCCATGCAAACAGGTCGTCACTGCAGACAGACAATGCACAAAAAAGCCACACACAGCTGTCACTTCCACTGATTGTGCAACCACATGCTGAATACTTTTCTTCTTCTTCTCATGCTTTTCAAAAATGCAATATCTGCTTGTTGATGTAGATGCTCCCGCCGAGCCTATTACCGGAGCCACCCGTGCCTCCCCTTGATGTAATGAGGATAAGACTGCTGAGTGCTGAGACTGCCTCCCTCATTGACAGAGTTTACACCGCTTTACAGTCTATCTATGGGTAAGGACTCAGGAGCAACCTCTGTCGTGAACTGTGGCCAGCAACCCATAGCAATTAACACAATGAGATTCCGGACGCCAACCTCTTCATAGAAAGTTCAGACTCCTGCCAGGTCGTTTATGTCCATATTTAGAACGACCTTGATAACGATCTTTTACTCCTATTGTTTGTATCTAGAGTACCTCTTATTATATGATGATATCGTTATCGTACCCCTGGCAAATCTTTGACTCTACCACCACGTACGAGAAGTTCAGACTCCTGCCACCCACCAAATACAGACACTAGAAGATGGCCTACCCCACTCTGGGATCCCCCAAGTACCCTTCTTCTTCCCCACTCGCCCAACCCCATCTGGTTTCTTTTTTTTTTTTTTTTTTTGACGTGAGGTTTTGTGACACAATTTGGAACCTGAGTGGTATACCTGTTGTTTCTTCTAATGCCTTTGGTGCTCAATTTGGTTTTTCTGCGAACAGCATGTTGGCAGTGTAATGCAGAAATTTGCTCAAAACTTTGAAAGCGTCTAATGCATCGCATCTACAGTTTTAGAGAGAAGGAAGTGATCGACTAACTAGCAACGAGTTTGAGTTGTACGAATTGTCAAATTCCGAAACCAATTTTTTTATTTATGCTAGGCAAAGGAACGTGTGGTAGGAGCGGCACCACATACAGGTTGGCAGAGCAAAATAAGGCATACAGGTCTTAAAATTCTGAATACAGAATTCAATACAAGACATGACACCACATTATGGAGAACATACTCAGTACTTTGCCTTTTTTTTCTTTTTTTTTTTACAATAACAGGACCTTATGGTCCTGGCTCCTTTCCATTCTGGGGAGCATCAGTCTGGTTCCTATTCCCCCGGCAAGTCAGAATAAACGTTACAATCATGACACTCCACGCTTCCTTCCGTCTGGCCGAAGGACCCCTGAGCAGCATTGATTACTCCATCTTAGTGGAGGATTGACTGTCAGCTTGCCATGCCTCTCTCTTCCCTCTCAGATCCGCTGCCCGAATCTGCCAGATATGGCTATAGTATCTAGAAAGAGCACGTTCTCTAACCTCTCCGACCCTTCTGCCCCTTCAGCATTATGGCCTTCCTGAATTTCCTAACCTTACAGTCCTTACCTTACGTTTCTGAGCCGCATCGATTACTCCACTGTGGTGGAGAGTTAACTGTCAGCTTGCCGTGTTTCATTCCTTCCTTTCAGACCTGGGTACCCGATCTGTCAAATGACTCTGAGCCTTCTAGACGGAAACCGCCCCTCATCCAGCTAACGAGTCCATTACGACTTTTCCTTCCTTACCTCACTATCCCCTATCCCATCTTGCTTACCCCCCACTCTTAAGCATCACCAAAACCTTAAACCTTAATCCTTTGTCTTATCACCATTGCCAAGACCCTTGTGGCTCTTCAGGGCCCTCTTAGACTAGGGTTGTCGCTGTCTTTCAGGGACCTTGTTCTCCTTCACCGATATACTGTCCTCTTTTTCACTGTAGTCCTGCTCCGACCTCGCCTTTAGGGCTCCGCCCATCTCTGGGCTGTTTCTCCGTTGATGTAGACCCCAGTCGTGTCCAACCCTCGTAGGTGTCTGGTCAGAGTGTATTGCAGCTGTTTGCCGCTGGTAGTCCCTTCCCGACTTTGAGTTGTGCCAGTCTTACCAACAGATGCTCAGGGATCAAAAACCCTAAGCCCTCCCTTGACTCTCCTCTTATCGCCTTATACTCTCGAGACGACCTGCTGTTTGAAAGTGGGGGGGGGGGGGGGGGGGGGGGGGGGGGGGGGGGGTTGTCCGAACCCTGGTTCCATTGTGGTGAGAGGAGCCTGTAGAGCCATGGTATCGCTACTTCATCTGCTGCTTGATTCATCCCCGTCTGGAGGAGACCTGAAACCCTCCTCCCTTCAACAGTCCTCGTCCTTCTTGCCTCTCCCCTTGGCTTCCTTTCTGGCCTTGATGTCTCTTTCTCCCTTCAGCTCAGGTGCTCGTCTGTTACATGAACAGCCTGTACTCTCCTCCCTGTCTCTGAGTTGTGCCAATCTTTCCAGTGTAATCGATCGTTTCTTAACTCCGCCACCTTACCATCCACTAACCATTGTTTAATGAACTTCTTCTTGGCCTTTCCTGCAGTTCTGCATCCTCCTGCATCGACTGTTTTAGTTTCCGCCATCTGCACAGAATTTCTGCCTGCAGCAACGTTCTCGTCTCCCCCCATACCTTCTCTTTTGAGTTAGATAGCCTTTCGATGGTTCTGCAGCATCTCTCTTTCCAGATGACCCATAGTGTGACCTTCCTTATCAGGCCGAACCATAGTCTCTCCGTCTTCTTGAGCTGGTCGGGAATGTTAGTCCAGAGAAGGATTTGGGTGATCTGTTCGGGGAAGGGGCTGTGGAAAAGGGAATCCCAAAGAGCAGAGGCCCGTGCCCAGTAGTCCGTCGCTTCACTGCAGTGAACTAAGCAGTGAATTATGTCCTCTTGTGCCGCTACCGTGCAGATAGAACATAAATCTGAGCTAGTGGGATCGTTCCTGCAGCGGCGCGTATGAAGCCATTGGTTGACAGGTAATGCTACGTAAGTAATGAGCCATTGCAGGCTCCTGATTTTAATCGGTCTGATTGTCATGAATTTCTTCCACGGGATCTGTGTGATTTTGTCGGCTTCCTGGCCTATTAATTTTTCCCATCTGGCTTTGATTACCGGTTCTGGGTCTTTAGTTTTCAGCAAGAGCTTGTATCCCATCCTGACCGTGTAGTTCTGCATGGGGGTAAACGTTGAAATGTTTTTCCCCTTATCTGGCTTCCAAACCCATTCCGCCGGGTCAAACTCCAGATTGTGTACCGCCGTGTCCGGTTGGAAGATGACCTTCGGCCATGAGCCTAAAACCCTTACTTTTCTGAACAGGAAAAAATCCATAACTACCGTTTCCACGTTCATGTTTAGTATCTCCGGCATACCCTGTTTAAAGTGGGAAATTGGAAAGGAGGTAAAAACAGCTTTACTGGTTGTTCCCGGTTGTAAGTATGAAAATTGGAAGGCGCGTGACAATGTGTTCTCTAACTTCTCTTGTACTTCAACCCCCCATTCTCCACACTTCCATGACGAAGCTTCCCTCAAAATGTCTTTCCATCCCTGAGGGACAAGATTGATGATATACTGGAGATTAGGTCCTCGTCTGTGGCAGCCCTTCAAGCGCGTGCTCAAGTCCTGATCAGTCACCCACTCTTTCTTTTCTTCATTCCATAGGTGGCTGATCCTCCATATTCCGTTCTTCACCCATGAGAGCCATTTGTGATCTAAGAACAGGGGCTCATCACTTTCGTCTTTCAGCCACTCGTTGCCGAAAAGTGGTTGTCTGAACTTGTCTCAAGACCTCGTCTTTGGACTTCGGCCTGTTGGTCTTTTTTGGCATTATTTCCCTCCATACCCGAATCAGAGCCGCCCAATACGGTGCCTGGTCTCTGGTTATGATCCCCTCGGGATCTCTTCTAGGTCTTCTCCAGGTCGTTTTCATGTTCCATCCCTTGTTCATGACCCAGAACAGACCTGACATGTTCTCTGGCGGCGTCACTGGGGCCAAGGCTCTTATGTTGTCTAAAGCCAGTTTATTCCATGCCGTCTCTGGCTTCATCAAGAGCTTGACTATCCATTTGACCTGAAGGGCCTTCGTCTCGCTTTTCGGGTCAATAATCCCTAGGCCCCCTTCTAACGGCTTCCTGGTGACATAATGCCACGCGATCTTGGAGATGCATCCTTCTCTGTTGGGGTTACCTGTCCATAGATAATTTCTGGCTACTCGGTTGAGTTCTTTTATTAAGTTATCCGGTATTGTCCATATTGATGCGATGTACCACATCATGGAAAATACCGACGTGTTGAGTACCAGAGCTCTGCCAATCATCGATGCAAATGTATTTCCCCATCGTCCTAGCTTGTTTATCTGTTTGGCTAGCATGCTATTGGCCATTTGGGGCGCCAGACCTTCCCTGGTCACGAGTATGCCTAGATAACGGGTAGGGGTTTCCGGCGTGTCCCATGTCATGGCGGCCTCTGGCCCTTGCAGATGAGGTAGATGCTCATCGGACAACCACCACCCTATGGTCTTTTTCCAATTGATCTTCATTTATGACGCCAGTCTGAAGGTTTCCATTGCTTTGGCAGCGTCTTGAAGGAGGAGTCACTAGCTCTAATCAGAACTGTTAAATCATCCGCAAACATAATTACAGTCGGAAACCTCATGTGATGCGCCGACCCCACATTGACCTCTGGGAGCCTATGTATTGAGGGATCTTTCCGTAGGAACGAGGCAATGGCTTCCATAACGAAGAGAAAGATTGAGGGGGCAAGCTGGTCTCCTTGTCTGACTGAACGAGAAATCGGGTAGTTTTCCGATAGGCACCTAAAGATAGGTCCCACCCCCATTCGCTCCATGCTTGCATCCATGAAAGACCAATTAACTTGGTCATACGCCTTCTCAAAGTCAAAGAATAGTATGGTTGTGTTTATCCTCCTTTCTCTGACTTTGTTTACCGCCTCGTTCAAAGTCAATACATTGTCCAATACATAGCGCCCAGGGATGAATCCCGTTTGGTCAATGTGGTAACACTTATCTGTTAAGTTCGTGATTCTGGCTGACAGGGTTTGGCCAAAATTTTGTAAGGGAGCGTTAATAAAGAGATTGGTCTGTAGTTCCTAATATCCTCTTTGTCTCCTTTTTTGTACAGCAATGTGACCACGCTGCTACTCAAGAAATTGCTCAGGCCTCCTTTGTCATAGCTATCCTTGTAGAAGTTTAGTAGGTCACCCCCTAACAGTGGCCAGAACTTCTCCCATCGATACCTGGGGACTTATCATTGTTCATGCTCTTGAGCGCTTGGCCCAGTTCGTCCACTGTTAGAGGTTTGTCTAACGCTTCCGCTTGTTCTTTGGAAAGTGTTGGTTCTAAGTATTGTAGCATTCTTTGTCTCGCTTCTAATGTGTTGTGCGGAGTAGGTGTGTTGGTTTTGGTCTGATACAGATCTTGGTAGAATTCTTTTGCGATTCCTAGCATCGCCTCACTAGAAGCCGCATCCACTTCTGGAACGCTGAGAGTTTTCAACCTTTCTATTGTGGCAGCTCTCGAGTTGACCTTGATTCGGGCGAAGAAGTGTTTGGTCATTGACCCCCTAAGTTCATATTCGTTCATTCTGGCTCTTATCTGCAACCCTTTTAAATCCCACCATCTCCACATGGCTAACTCGTCCCGTGCATTCTCAAATAAGCCCAAGTAAAGCTCAGAGGACGGGTTGTCGCTCAGATTAGACTCTGCGATCTTCAGCGCCAATTCCAGATTCTATCTCCTTTGCTTCGTTATGGAAGCTAGTTCCCTCGATATTCTGGTTGCTGTCTTCGATAGGGATAAGTAGCTTTTTTGGAACCACTCCCACCGATCATAAATGGGTAACTAGATGTTCCTTTGTTCCTGCCAGCATTCCTGCACTCCTTCTTGGAAAGCCTGGCTTAGCAAGAGGGAGTTATTCAGTTTGTGAAAGCTAGCCCCTTTTCTCACAAGCTGTTCAAAGTCGATTATTAGTTCAATAGGTTTGTGGCTCAAACCTGTATATGTCGTACTATACAGTGCTAAGGGTAAGATCTCTACCTTTTTCACCGCCCCCATCAATGTTTTTGATACCAGAAAATAATCTATCTGTGAGAAAGCCATATGATGTGCATGGTTCTTTTTAACTAGTGAAAAGGCTCTCGAATTGGGATGAAGGGTTCTGAAGGGGTCTATCAGACCATGGTCTAACATCAATTTCTGCACCTGTATAGCTTCCTGCGAGTTAAAGATATTGGAGGATCGTGATATACGATCTAAAGCGGGATCGAGGGTGGCATTCCAATCTCCAGCCACTATGCACGGGGTTAAAGGTGGAAGCATGCTACCGGCGTTTGTCATAAACGACGCCCTTTCTATTGTCTCATTAGGAGCATAAATGTTAAGAAGGAGGAATTCTTCATCCTTCCACTTTAGGTGCATGGAACACCATCTACCCTCGTTAACGTCAACTATCTTGTTTAACACGTTTACCGCCACATAGAAGCGTGAAGATTTGGGAATCGGAATGGCAGTACCTTTCGTGCTTGAGGCATTGTCCGTCGCCCAGATTTCATCTTTTATACCTCCCAGCTTTCTTGCCACAAACTTTTTGATCCTGCTATGCTCTGGTGAGAAGGAGAGGTGAGTTTCTTGAAGCATTATAATGCCTGCCAGTACTTTGTTGTCAACTGTCAGTCCCTTGAGTATGTCATTCAATTTTTCCTCTTTGTCTATGATGTTGCCCACTCCATTTACGTTCCAGCAGCGAATGGTAATCCCCTGGCCCTTCCAGTCTCCCCTGTTCACCCTCTCGTTCGCCGATCTTCTTATCTCCTCCATCTATTTAATTCTCTCTGGCAAATTATAATTGTGGTTTGACTAAGAACTGTCTACGATGGTGAACTACCTCCCGTGTTTAGGCCCATCGGGTCATCACCCACCTCGGATCCCTCTGTTATCTGTCCCACCTTCGTAACTCCAATCGTATCCTGTCCCTCTGTAATCTGTCCCACCTTCATAACTCCAGTTGAATCCTGTCCGAGTATCGTGCACCGACCCTCACTGTTGTTGATAATTATATCCTGTCCTACTCCCTGATTTTCATCCTCCTTTTCATCATCTGACTGCCATTCGAGCGAGTCGTCTTCAGAATCGTCACTTCCGCAAAATCTTTCCCAGTCCACTGGGTATGCCCCCGCATCCAGATCCCCGTCTCCGTCCAGCATCCCTGAGGTGATCAATTGGGCCACTGAAGCTGTTGTCAGTTCCGCCGGCAAACTAGAACCCGCCAAGACATTGTATGGCACCGCTATCACCGCCCGCCAAGGTCTCCATCTCATCCTTGTATGGCTTGACCCTCTTGTTCTGTTTGGGATTGCATATTCTCCTGATCTGACTCATACGGTACTGAGTCATACACTCCCAGCGGGAAGTCCGATGTTATCTTCTCCCGGAGGATATCTGCCACATTCTGACCCTCCTCAAAACAAGGGATTTGGAATGACACATCTGTTGCTATCTTCCACTCATCAATTTTCTTCATGTATCTTGCTGCGATCAGAGGACGGATGTTCAATAGAGTTAAGTGTGCCGACCGTGTTGTCTCCACCACCAATGGTGCCTCATCCCTGGCTATGTGTGTGATCGTTATGAATTCTGGTGCATATTCCTCGTTCAATTTTTTTCAGTTTATCTATTTGCGCAAGCACCACGACAACTTCCTTTTCCAACAGCGTGCGTGTTGAGTCTTCTTCAGACTCCGTCTGCATCGTATCCGAGTCTTCTTTTTCTGATTTTTCCCGACTTCCATTTCTTAGGACGCAAATCTTGGAACTCATCTTTGGAATCCGGGACAGTTCTGTCTTTGTCTTTCAAACCCTGTTCCCTTGTTCTCTTCTTTTCAGCATACCTGAACGCTGTGTATTCTGATAACTCTTCCGCCTTGACCTTTCTGAGAGCATCGAATTGGTTGTTGGAATTCCCCCATCCCCCCAACAACCCTTTCTTCCCACTTCTCTGAGCTCTTTCTGCATGTTTCAAGCACGTCGCCCGAATGTCAAAGGCATGCTCCCTTTCCCTTTTCACCTTCTCCGCGTACTCCCTGAGCCACTGGAGTGACTGGAGTGATCGAAGGGACTCCCTTTCGCTGTCCGTCGCCGAGCTTCCCCCATCAATGTTGTTTCCCCCTGACGTCTTTTCAGACCCCGTCCCCCTCGAATCTGTTTTCCTCTCCTCGTCATCCCTTCCTGTGGGGGCGCTTACTGTTCCCTCTCTCCCTTCTGCATCCGTTGCCTTCCGCCTTTTGAGACCCCCCTCCTGGTTCCCTTCGTTGTCCAAAGTTCGTTTGTTATCTGCTTGTGTCCCAACTTTCATTTGAAACGTTGTCTGTTCCAGATTTCTTAGCATGTTCCTAAAACTGGTCGGCTCCTTGTTGAATTGCAGCACTGCTTGTTCCCTAACCACCTCCAGGTCCCATAGTAAGTCCTCTCTGTCTTTCTCTTCCCTATCAGAGGATCAGTGTTGATCTGCGATGGGTTGCCTGTCACTTTCCCTGTTGCTTTTTTCTGCCACCCGCTATCAGCCGGAGGGAAAATGTTTGGTTTCTTGACTGTGGGTTCTTGGTGAGCATAATGCGTGACCCAGCCTGCTTTGCACTTTGTAGTTCAGGCAGCCGAGCACATGTCTTGCAGCAAGTCAACCAGCACATTTAACTAGCAGACATGCAGAGTTGCAAACAGTGCAAAGCAGGCACAAGACTAAAGAAACAGAGAATTTTTTTTTGAAAAAAG